CCTGGGGTTAAAGCGTTTGGAACCTACGCACAACACCAAAACAGAAACAAATAAACGTTTACAAACCTCGTGAGTGAGAGAAACCAAACCAAAAAAAAGACAGAAAAAAATGTTGTCTTTTGTTCTTCTTCCTTATACCCGTTGGTGGTGGTGGTGGTGCCAGTAGGAAGGGTCATGGGGCGGAGGAGGAGCGGCGGCGTATGGCCACGACAACGCCGGCGGAGGTGGTGGAGATGGTGAATGTTGTAGGTACTTTGGCCACACATTCAAAGGCCTAAAATGGGGATGCATGGGCGGAAATCCCATAGTCGTCGGTGCACCCCACGAGCTGAGTTCTCTTTTTCCACCACCATTTACTGCGGCGCCGCCGTACATCTGTCGCCTTTGACTCCAACTCGCCGCCTCCGCTTCACGTGCCAACAAATGTTTTCGATGCGACCTGTATTTCTACAATAAAGTACATACCACACCCTAATTAGATGTTAGAAACTACAAATTTCCACGGTTAAATTTGAGCATAAACTCTCTTACTTATAAATTCATGAACAACTCCTTAATTATCTAGAGAAATAAATATTTCATTAATTATTAGAGACAAACAACCTAAGAAATTAAAAAAAACATGTCTAGAAACATAAATTATAAAGTTTTAGCAGTGAAATTATACTTGAAGATGGCTAGCAACGTTATGGCGAGTGAGACACTCAATTCCCATAAGCTCCAATATTCTAGAAGGCACTGCCTTATCCACTCCCAACTGCTCCACCGCTTGCACAAACCGCCGGTGAAGCTCCGGCGTCCAATCCACCTGAAATTCATCAAGCTTAATCATAAAACTTCTCCCCAGCTTCAATTCGATCAAAAGTTCATAACTTTCTTACACTCTCACGACTCTCCAATGATATAATATGATATTGTCCACTTTGAACATAAACTCGACCTCACCCACGATCATTTCTTAAATTAGCTAATCTGTTACTTCCTCCCAAAGTTCATAACTTTCAAAAATCACGACTCTCTATTGATATGAAATTGTCCATTTGAGCTAAGCTCAGCTTCACCTACGATAATTTCTTAAATTAGCTAACATGTGACTCCGGAACGATCTTCGACCCTAAACGGTTAAAGACCCAATTGAGAAAAGAAAAAAAAAACCTATTTTTTACCTTAACTTTTCTCTTTCCTTGAGAGTTCTTGGATTGAGGAGAAGATTTATTGATTTTATCACCACTTTTTGATTTGGCTGCCAATTCGTCTATTTTGCTCACAATTTCTTGATCCCCATGAGCTTTCCCTTCCTCCTCGCCCTCATCTTTGTTGACACTCTTTGAGTTGTCGTCGAATTGTTCAAAAGACACCGAATTGTTAACGGAGAATTGAGCGAGGAGTTCATGATCCATCTCCAAATCAGGCAACACATCTCCATCGTTGATTCCCACAAAAAGATCATCAAAATTGATGCTATCAAGCAAATGGGTATCATCATGAAAGTCAGGAAAGCCCTCCGCCGCAATCGAAAAGCTATCCACTTCTCCTTGTTCTTCATCTTTGTTGCCAATTCTCACAGCAAGCATTACAAAGTAGAATAGAATGACTTAAAGATCCAAACTTTGCATGAAATCACAAGAAATCTCAAATGGGTATTGCTTGAATCGATGTAAAGAGTACTCTAAAGGGGAAAAACAAGGGTTTGGATGTCGGCCACAACTTGAGATTTTGTTTGAATGTTCTTGTTGTGTTTCGCCACTGATTCAACAGCTTCCTTTTCCCTTACAAATTTGTGCTTGTGGATGCCCTTTTTTTGAATTTTCTTGGAGCTGCAAGTGATTGCTCGTGAAGTAAATAATTGGTTTTCCAAAAAGCTTTCAATGAGAGAGAGAGGAGAGGGAGAGAGGGAGAGAGAGAGAGAGGATGTCAGAGAGGATTGGAATGGGAAGTTGATTGACATAGAAACATGTAATGGATATACGTGTTGTAGAGTGAATCAAGACAGTGAAGTGATCATGTGGGCGAACCCAATTGAAGAATATATGTATAAATATAATATCAAAATACAATTTTTTTTTGGATGTATAACAAGTTGTGGAAGATTTACGTAGATTTCATATCGTAACCAAGAAAATCAAATCAAATCAAATCAATTCTTTTTTTTCTTTTTTTTAAAAAGAATAAATTTATGATCTTATCTAGATGGATATACTTAAAAATTAAGCTAATATTTATGTGTTAAATTCCATTAGGATGAACCCTACAAGACAAAGAAAAAGGAAACAGAACAACCTTATTTTATGCTAAAATTACCCCTTTGGTCAAACATGATTATGAATGACATGTTTTGTTCCACGTATGTTGTTTGAGTGTCATATGATTCAAGAGTATGTTATTGCTAGTCAATTTACGCAGGGATAGACTTCCACACTCTTATAAGAAATATTTCGTTCATATCTCTAATTGATGTTGGGTCTCACAATCCACCTCCTTAGGGACTCAGTGTCTTCGCTGGTACATCGGCCGGTGTTTGACTCTGATACCATTTGTAACAATCCTAATTTTCTACTGTAATAGAGCCGCTACTATATGCATGTCGTAGCGGCTCCATTTCAGTAGAAAATTAGGGTCGTTACACTTGGAGTATACAACAAAGCATTTTCTTCTTTAAAAATATTCCGAGCAACGCTTGAGTAAATGATCAGTAAATAAAAGTGATTATGAAGATATAATAGTTAAACGATTTTGTCGAAGAAAAAAACTTGTATAAAACACACCACATCCAAGTAAAGACAACATAAAAATTCATGCCCAAACCTACAATAAAGAAAATTAGATATTCATTGTTAGGGACCAAGGAACCACACATGATTTCGAGTGTAACCTTCGTCTTGCTTAACGTAACTACTTGACTTCGTCGTATCGTTTCAAATCTAGAACGGGACCCGACCACGAGAGCTACACACGTTAGGGAATCCAAAGCTAACATGTGAAGAAAAAAATTGCATCTTGTAAAGGGAAGTGGGCGTAAGAGAAAGCAATAGGGATCGCGAGGCAGAAGAAAGTAACAAGTTTTGATAACATCTATGATTTAAATTTGTTAGTACAAGGGTAAAGGAAGGACAGTATAAATGTTTATTAATGGTCGGGAGCCAACATAGACATACATGTTGTAAAATGGGTCCTCAAACCCTGCAATAATTGTTGTTGTTGTTGGACTATATATATATATATATATGCTGTAAATATGGCTTTGGCTTTCACTATCAGTCCGTCGTTTTCTCAAATTTGAGGTCCCCTCGACGCTCCAACGACTCGATATCAATCCAAAATTTCACCCCTTCCATCTTGGACAGATTTTTTATTCCATTGTCAACTTCATCGATTTAAATTTGTAACTTATCTAGAATACGTATAAAGATTTAAATATATGAAATGAATATGTGAAATCTCACCTCGGTTGGAAAACGAAGCATTCCTTATAAGGATGTGGAATGATAATACGTAAGGTTGATGATAATACGTAACAGGCCAAAGCGAACGACATCTACTAGTGGTGGGCTTGGACTGTTACAGTGGTCAAATTGAACAACATTTACTAGTGATTGAATTTGGTTGTTACAGAATGACTAAATATCTGCTAGCGGTGAGCTTGAGCTATTATAGAAGTCTAAGCACTTTCAATTCGATAATAGCCAATAAGACAGACTCTTACTATTTAGCTATGATTCGTATGAACTACAAAGTAAGAAGATTTGTATATGAACGGTTATCCTATATGCTTAAGCGAATTATTATGCTTTCTTGGATTCGATCAAAATTTATCTTTTTTTTTTTTTAAGATAATATCTTGACCCAAGTTATGTTCAAAATGGTAATTGGACGTTCGATTATTACATCCCGCTCGAGTGCGAATTACGTGATAAATCATTTTTTCTAGAACTTTCTTTCGAACCGAAAAGGAAGAAAAGAAGTAAAAATGAGGACAACCATGATTAAAATGTTATTAAACATTTGATTACGAGTGTTATGGTTTCAAAAGAGATTTTTGTCCTTCCATAGAAGCAACGTTTTGAAAGGTTTTGTGGTCGGAAGTTATTTGTTCCTATTATAAATAATAATAATAATAATAAATAAATAAATAAATATATATATATATATTATATATAACATTATGGGAAAATATAGAGATAGTTTTCAAAAGTTAGATGCTTTTCATTTCAAGCTTTGTTTTATAATTGTCCTTTTGTTCATTTGGAGTATTATATTACCATTTTATTTATTTATTTATTTTGTATTTTTACTAAAAATATACTTATTTAATGCTCATTTAATTATTTGTAATTTATAAAACTATTATATTAAGTCCTTAAATTTATTGATATTTAGGGTTCATGGTAAATGTAATAACGTCACGACATGTGCACCTATCATATAGATAATGATGGGAGGCTTCTCTATCAATAACATATAAGAGGTGAAGTTTGAATATTTGACTTTTTGGTCGTAAAGATATGTTTTAATTAGTTGAGTTATATTCAAGTTGATTCTAATAATTAGATATTAAAATTAAATTAATTATATATTAAATTTTTTTAATTATTTATATCAACACAACCCTCTATTCTCGGTTTTGGCGTCGAACTCAAGTGTGGGTGTGTTTAGGGAGACGGAAGTACAACTCTGGCAAACTTATTAATATGAAAATATTCTTAATATAATTTATATATTTTTATTTGGCTCAGGTCAATCCGAAGGTTTTATCCACGAACTCGAAACTGAATCGATTCAGTTCGGGTTCAGAAAAATGAACCCAACCCTACTTGAAATGCTAATCCAACCCAACCCAACTCTTATAGTTCGGGTTAAGTTAGTCATGGTTGCCGGTTTGGATGTACACCCTTAATTCCGAGAAAGGTGGGTTTGAAATTTGGAGTGGAATTTAAAATTCCGGTTCAATATTTGAAAATTAAAACGAACGAACGAACCGGCGTGGAATCTCCGTCAACGCTTCAAAATCAAAGAAAAGTCGCCGCTTACCATATGCAACGCGCACGAAGCTTACCAAAACTACCCCACGACTATTCCAATTCCCACATCCATTGGGCACCATCTTGAAGGGCAGAGAAGTCAATCCATTCACCAAAGTGGGCGGCGGTGGTGGTGGTGGGCTGCAGTTGTGCGAAGAAAGTCTATAAATCTCGACATTGAATCTGAGAAAGCGAGGAAGAAAGACAGAAAGATGGGCGATTGCAGGCCATTAGGGTTCTTGCTGGGGCTGCCATTTGCGTTGGTTGCGTTGGTTTTATCTGTTGTTGGGGCCGTAATTTGGATCATCGGGTGAGTTCTTCTTTATCACTTGGTTTGTTGCTTATTCTGAACTGATGAATTTGACAAGAACTGAAGCGATGGCGCTGTTTTTGTTGCAGATCTGTGCTGAGTTGCCTCTGCCCATGTTGCGTGTGCTGTGCGGGGCTTGCGAATCTGGCGATGGGGCTTATCAAGCTGCCGGTGAAGGTGCTCCGATGGTTCACTCACCAAATACCCTGTTAGTTCTGCTTCGGATTTCGTTTTGATTATTGATATTGATTATTACATCCATTTCTTTGTCTGCTTAGATCTTAGTTATGTTTGTATTGTATTCCACATGTTATTAGAACAGAGCTCTGTATTTATGGAAAATTCATCCTTTGATTCTTTAATTTTCGTTTTGTTGACCTCGATCTTGTTTGCGCCTGGAATCACATTTCGTGTATCTTGATGATGCGATGAACTGGGTTTAGGTCAAAATCAACTGACCCAGAATAATAATTTGCTTAAATTACTAAGTTTATGAACTTAAACTTCAAGTAGTCCACATGGTTAGAATTGGGTTGGAATACTAAGACTCTTGAGATTCTAGAGATTCTAGAGTTGTGTGAGATCCCACGACGATTGGGAAGTGGAATGAAACATTTGTATAGAGATCAGTAAACCTCTCCCTAGCAGTCACGTTTTTAAATCCAAAGAAGACAATTTTTGTTAGCAGTGGACCTAGGTTGTTACAAATGGTATTAGAGCGAGACATTAGGCGGTGTACCCGTGAGGATGCTGAGCCCTGTAGGAGGTGGACACTGGATGGTGTGCCAATGAAGACATTGAGCCTCGAAGGGAGTGGACATCAAAGAGGTGTGCTAGCAAGAACATTGGACCCTGAAGAGGGTGGACATCAGGCGATTTACCAACGAGAACGTTGGATCCCGAAAGAGAGTGGATTGTGAGATGGATCAATTGAAGAGGGGAACGAAGCATTCTTTGTAAGGGTGTAAGGACGCTGAACCCCGAAGGGGATGGACATGGAGCGGTGTGTCAGCGAGGATGCTGGGCTCCGAAGGGGGTAGATTATGAGATCCCACATCGATCAGTGAGGGGAACAAAACATTCTTTACAAGAGAGTGGAAACTTCTCCCTAACAAACCCGTTTTAAGACGAAACCCAGAAGAAAAAGTCTAAAGAGAACAATTTGTGCACATTTTAAAACCTCAACGAGAAGCTCGGAAGAGAAATCTCAAAAGAGAACGATTTCTGCTAGTAGTGGACTTGGGTTGTAATAGACTGCCTATAGCCGAACATGGAAGAAATTTCATTTATACTGACACTAATATGCCATTTTTTAATGTAAATGAACAACACGTGACATGGAACGTCGAATATTCAATTAAATTAAGCGAAACAATGAGGGTAGTTTACAAAAGCTTAGGGAAATTGAAGAATTCAACAAGAACTTGTTTGTAGTATCTCTTGATTCCTCGCTACTGACGAGAGAGAGGGAATCCAACGCCATGTCGTTTAGAAGGAAAAACAATAAACAAGAAGCTGCACAACACACCAATTCCGACAGGCAACACAACCAAAAGCTCCCTTGTTTCGTCGGACGGAGTCGGATAGAAACACTTCACAACATTCTCATCAAACAGAGCAACAGCTACAAACACCAACAGAGAACAAAAGGCATGAAAAAAATCAATAAACCGTAGTCTATACTTAGCAGCCTCCTCCTTGGGCAGTGTGGTGGAAGCATCAATGACCCACAAGCCCTGAAACGTGGCCACCCCATATCGGACTTTGCCGCGTTCGTCCCGGAAACTGTCGGTGAAGAGGAGGAAAAAACAGGACAGGGCGCAGAGGAGGAGGAGGGCGAGGGTGGAGGTTTGGCTGACGGTGGTGTGGCAGTTACCTTGGTGCGTGAAAATGGGGGACAGGATTTGGAAGCCGAGGACGGTGCCGGTGGGGAGGAGGTTGGCTAAATGGGCTGTTTTTTTGAAGGTCTTTCTAATGGCTTTTTGGGTCGGCGTTTTTGTTGGCTTTCCGGCGTTCTGTAACAGTGGCTGCTGGGATCCTCGGAGCAGCGCCTCGGCGGCCAGTGCTTGCTGATTTTGGCTCTCCATATCCCCTTCCATTGTGATGAATGAGTGATTCCTTTGGTTTGGTGTGAGATATTTACGAATTATTAATTGTTTGGGAAATGATCGGTTTAATTCTTTGAAATCCAGATGGATTCTGTTATTTTTTTTTGGTTTAATTCGAAGGAATTAGAGAAACTGTCGACAATGGCGTTATACATCGGTTGCTACCTATTCTTGGAAACAGCTCTTCAAGTTGATCCTTAAATAAGTTGTAAATTATGAGAGCACATGCTCAAAGGGAACAATATCATACCACCGTGGAGAGTCATGTTCGTCTAACATGATATCAGAGCTATGCCCTAAACTTAGTCGTGCCAATATATTGGTAAATCCTCAAATATCGAACAAAGAATTCCAAAAGAAAAGGAGCCAAGCCTCCTCGAAGGCAATAAAAAATGACTAAGACCCCAAAGGAGTCGAGCCTCGATTAAGGGGAGGCGCACTTTGTTCGAGGAGAGGTGTTGGATGATGAAAGTCCCACATCGGCTAATTTAGGGAATGATCATGGGCTTATAAACAAAGAATACTTTTTCCATTGGTATGAGGCCTTTTGGGGAGAGTAGGGGTGAACATTCAACTCGACAACTCGGACCAACCTAACTCGAACTATAAGGGTTGGGTTGAATTGGATTAGCATTTCGGATAGTGTTGGATTCATTTTTCTGAACCCGAACTGTATTGGCTTCGTGTTCCTGGATCTTTTTGTATTAATAGATTTGCCAGAGTGGTAACTTTGGCTCTCTAAAGACACCCAAACTTCTGGGTCTCAACCTAACCCAACCCAACCAGACCAAATTCACTAAGCACCTCTTTCATCATAATACTTCCAACCCAACCAGACCAAATTCACTAAGCACCTCTTTCATCATAATACTTATTTTACTAATGCTTCTTGGTTAGCTTAGGGACAAGTTCGAGTCGATGATTCTGACTTCTCTTTTGTCACATGGCACCATGTTCTGTCTTTTCTCTTGGTCAATTGTCGGGTGAACTTGTCCCAACTATTACAATCGTGCATCTTCAATTGTGTGGCATTATGATTATAACCCACTCACGACAAGCTTTAAGGGGAACTCTAGCCCTATATTCATTTTTCATCCAGCTTTGTGATTTCGTCGGACTGTCGGCAAGGTTTGTTTTCACTAACTGAACATTGTTGGTACGGAATACAGACCGAATATAAATTCTTAAAATATATTAAAATAAATAAATTTATTATTTAAAACATTATTAAGATATAATGATAACCATTAGTAATTACCAAGGGTTTTCATGGGATTGTTGGATTTCTTACAAGGTAAGTGAGGAATCTACCTTTCTTTATCACAGACGACATGTCGTCCATCCACAAAGTGAAATAATATTTTTAAAACTATGTACTTATTTTTGTTTCTTCCATTATGTAAAGCTTTTGGTGAATATGCTTTTATTTATATTTCAGAAACTAAGCCAAGAAATATCTCAAACAGTATAAATTCAATAAATAAAAATGGTTTTTTTTCCTCGAATATATTAGATTCGCGTAATATTAAGGTAAAATTTGCTTCAAATAGAAAGAACGTACAAAATATGAAGAAAAATCGTGCATTAGCATGATGCTTGCCATACAGACTCACACGAATTAGTTAAACTAAAGACTACATTGTAATATATATATATATATAATATATTAATTTATTAAGATTTTTTTTATATAAATATTATATTAAAAAATAAAAAAATAATAAATTTTAAAAAAAAAATAGTAAATAGAGAAAAATTACCCGACGAACCTAATCCAAGCAAATTTCCCACAGGTGATTTCTGTAAAAATAAAGGGAGAATTTCATAAAGAGATGGGGATGAAATAAGTGGCGGGAATGGAAACGCTCTCCATTCTTGTTCGGCTACGTAGACATCTCTAATGAGAGCGTATCCCTCGTGAGGCTAAAAAAGAAAAGTAAAAAAAAGATAAAATATCACTTTAATTAATGTTCCCAAAACAAGAAAACAATATTCTTTTCGAAAACCTTGTAAATAATTTCGAGAATAACTTTAAACTAAAAAAACACGTTGGAATAGACAACTTTCATCTAAAATACTTGGAAGCTTTCTTCTTTTTTAATCGTCATACAAAAAAATGATAATGTAACAACTCAAGCCCACTGCTAATAAATATTGTCCACTTTAGCCTGTTACGACCGTCAGCCTCAAGATTTTTGAAACGCGTCTATTAGGGAGAGGTTTTCACACCCTCATAAAGAATGTTTCGTTTCTATCTCCGACCAATGTGGGATCTCACAGATAACTTTCTTCTAGTAGTGTCAAGAACAACGTAAAACTCTTCATAATAATACAATATTGTCCACTTCGATAGTTAGACTCTCGATTTCACTCAAAAGTGCACCGTTCTTCAAGCACAAACTTTTATCAAGACAACATAGTTTTACGATCCTCCATTTCACGAGTCGAAAAAAATAGAGGAAATTTGAGATGGAAAAGGGTTGGAAAAGCAGAAAATAGGTAAAGTTTCAAATGTTTCATAATCAGGAGCTGCTAAGGTAGCAAGTTCAAAGTAGTTGCTGTTCCTTAAACGTCATGTGTTCAAAATACTGTCGTCTTCGTTGTTGGTTTCAGTCTGTGTGATATATGGTGGAGTTGGTTGGCACTTCCATTGCATTGCAGGCCAAGGCCAAAGCCAAGAACTCTAACATCAAAATGTAAGACAGATAAACACGACTCTCTACAGTGGTATGATATTGTCTACTTTAAGCATAAGTTCTCGTAGCTTTGCTTTAGTCTTCCCCAAAAGGCCTCGTACCAATGAAGATAGTATTCCTTGATTATGAACCCATGATCAATCTCTAAATTAGCCGAGGTAGGACTTTCATCCGACACAAACCACAAACCGAAAACTTCATTTTTATAAGCTCAAGCTTTATGAACACTCCACAGTGACATCAAACCTGAAAAAACAACACAAAAACACAAAAACAAAACCAAAAACACAGCCCTTTTCGCCCTTGTCTCTGTCTCTCAAATTAGGTAGCCTCCCTCTCCACTCACTTCTTTCTTCTTATATCTTTGAGTGTTAGTTTTAAAGATCCTAAACCATATCAGGAACTGCATTTATTCTCATCGAACTCTCTTCTTGTTGACATCAAAACTTGACACCAAAGAAACCCTTTTCATTTTTCTCTACTTAACCAAACCCCACATGAAATTTCAGCTCCATTGTTGTCGAATGTGGGAGGAACTCAAAGAACAAGACACATGACAGAGTTTGTGGATAAATATGTTACCAACTCCAGTTCTTCTTGTCCTTCTTGCGGCCATCATCAAATCAAATCCCCAGAAAAGGTACTTTTGATCTTTGTTTTTGTTCTTTTTTGGTTTTTTTTTTTTTTTTTTTTTTTTTTTTTTTTTTTTTTTTTTTTTTTTTTTTTTT